GGGTTCAGCTGCAGCTGAACATGTCCACCTGCAGCTGAACATGTCCACCTGCAGCTGAACATGTCCACCTGCAGCTGAACATGTCCACCTGCAGCTGAACATGTCCACCTGCAGCTCAGCTCTGACCAGCCCGGCCCGGTACTGAAGAGTTCACACATCAACCCCTTCAGACGTTTAACGTGTTTAATGAGCATCAAAAATCTGTAATTTTCGCAAAAAAAATCAGTATTAATCACGTGGGGGGTGGAGGTGCGCTGACAGCAGCTGGAGGACAAGGGTCTTTTAAAGACGTGTCTACATTTGACTTTTATTGTTTCTAAAATCACAGAGTTCTCTGAGTCATCTTCAGGTGTTTGTAGTTAATCATATCTTCTAAATTTAACCAGGTGTTTCACTGACTTTAAATTACACAATCATTTTACTGCAGAAACTTCTCAGTTTGGTTAAAAAAACAGTAATTTTTTTCTGTGCAGAACTTCCTCTGTTATAATTTATTTAAAATAAATATATCAAAGCTCATAAGATGAAAACAGTAAAATGATAGAAAAGATGTTTAAAAACTTGTTTCCTCAGAAAGTCTTCAGTCCTAAGAACACTAAACTGTAACTTTTAATAAGTTCACAGTATACTCCTGTTTAAATAAAAAAGTTTGACCTGTAAGCAGAAAGCTTATGGATGTTGGATGTTGGTTTTTTAATCTCTATTTCAAAGAAGAGGATGAGGAGGAGAACGAGGAAGTTCTNTATATGTATATATATGTATGTATGTGTTAATATATGTATGTATACATCAGGTACAATCCTAGGTACACAGGGGAGCTTTATGACATTCCATCTGGTGCACTTTTTGTTTTTTGTCCGCTCATGCACACCTGTGCACCACTTATGTGCAGCTCTGTCCCAGAGCATTTTGAGTGTACCGTGTTAAAATATACATTTTAATGATCACTATAAAGCACTACGATTACGTCTGACTTAATGTAAAATAAACAACACAGAACTGCTAAAAAAATGTAAAAGTAAAGAGTGTCATGCCTGCGGCAGCCATGTTGGAATGATGATGTAACACATGCTCAGGCTGCTCAGGTACGGTCTGGTAGAGCCCACCTCTCTACTGGAAACTACAACTTCAGGGGGTGTTCCAGTTGAAGAACATGGAAGTTTAAATGTACGAGCTCAGAGGACAGGTGGACCACAGTATTAGACCTGGGGTCTTCCTGCCTGCCTGGGTTTCCTCCCACAATGTAACAACATGACGGTTTCAGCCCAGGCCTCCTCTGAAACACACGTCTGTGATCTCAGTGGGATTAGCCTGGTTAAAAACAGGCTCAGACTAAAATAAATAATAAAAAGAAATGTTAACGCCCATTTCCTGTCTTGTAGGCAGTGGAGAGACTCCCACCCTTGAAACCATTGACTCTTACATGAAGAAGCTCCACAGCATCATTGTCAGTAACCCCCAAGATCACGAACATCTCATCAGCTCTGTGAGAGACGTGGTCAACCGCCTGGACAGGTAATCCGTGTGCAGCTGTGCATGTGTTGACCTACAGCAGTGTGTAAACGTGTCAGCAGAGGTACACATTGGTGTGTTGTTGAATGTGTTGTTGTTTTGGTCAGATAATGGGGTTTCCTGGGATTCCCGGCTCAGTCGAGGCTCTGCTCCACTCTACGGCTCGCTCTCTAACGTTGGCTCTTTTTATCATCTTATCTGTGTTGACCCAAATGTTTCTGCTCTCATCATAACGGTGAACGTGTTGTAGCGTCCCATATTTATTATTCTTTTTAAAACTTTTGCACCTCATAGATAGAGCTGTAAAAATCTGATAACTGGGTATAAAAACATTTTCATTTGTTTCTCCATCCTCCACTCATTTAGAGTCCAAACTTTCACAACACAGCTGTTTTAAAATATCCATTCGGTGTATTTGTACTTAATATGACCAAGAAATGTTGTTTTTAATGTTCTGTTGGAAGAAGAAAGACTTGTGCCATTATTGGATCCATGTGTGAGAAGTGTTTGTATTTCTAATAAAAGTGTTTACATTTGGATGTGAACTCACGTCTGAGGAACATTACTGGAGTTTTCTTCTTTCATGCTGCAGATAAAACCACACCCATACAACTAAACATTGATAAAGTCAGAGTTTGTTGCACATTTTTTATAAATTGAACTATTGTTCCGCTCAGTTCATGTTTTGTTTATTTTATTTATGCTTACATCACTCTCTTCGTTATGTTTTTGTTTTTAAAGAAAACAAATCTTAAATAATAAATCATAAATATACACAGCACCAGATACAATCAAAGCATCTCAAGCATTAAAATAATCCTAAAAATATGAGGAACCATTTGTCTTCTGTAACATGATACTAATGAGTAAATGTCAAAAATCAGTTTTTACCTTTCAGTGTTTCCCCTACCATTATACAGGCAGGGCGTCCCCCCGCCAACGAGACGGCCCGCCTCTCTAAGAATTTCATGGCATGTAGTCATTTTTATTTATTTATTTTTTGTGTCACTTCAGTAGAAAATGAAACCAAAAATTAGTTTATTTAGTTTATTTATTTCTTCATCATCAGTGACTTTTTTTAAGTGAA